TGCTCCTAGTAGCGATGCCCTTTGCTACTAGTAGCTTCTTGTTACTAGTAGTAAGGCCAGGAGCTACTAGTAGCGTTCTTGCTCCTTGTAGCGATGCCCTTTGCTACTAGTAGCTTATTTTATATATGTCCCAAAGACGTTGGTCCCAACGCAAGGTGTGGCTCAGTCCCCGCTTCCAAGCGCCGGTGGAGATGCCGTTGGAAGTTCGCAGGCCAAGTCCGTTGTCTTGTTTCTTTTTGACAACAACAAAGGCAGCCTGAGACGTGGTGAGTCAAGGTCGTGAAAAGAAGATCATCAGGTTTACCATGGTCTACCGTTCAATTGAGGATGGACAATAAGTTTTATCAGCATGCTAAGCATTCAATATCCACTGTAGAAACACATCTATATATGTTATCCAGCCGCATGCCAGCAATCACCGATCACTGTAAGTATTATTTTTCTCTCATGTATCCTGTATATTTGTTTTACTGTGTATCTGAAGATACTCTGAGCGCTGCAAGCGTAGCTCTTGTGAACTAGAAAAACAGGTTGTCAAGGCAGAGCATTTGTCAGATCAGTTTCCTCGATCCTTTGCCGCTCCGGATCATTAATCGAAGTATATCGATATATTATTCAAATTTTAATTAGATTGTCAATCATGAACATCTCAAGCGGACCCCTTCGGAAAAAAGACTGGAAGGGCCGGGGAAAGAAATCGGCTTGGGGGTGTGGGACGACATGCAGCACCAGGCTTGCTCCACGGGGCCATGCGGGAGAAAGCTTGGTTTCTGGCTGGAACTTAGCTGCTCGGAGGGCAGAGCCGCTAGAGAGCCAGAGCTCTTCTCCTAGTGGGAGGGCATTCGCCCATGGGGCTTGGGTGGTCCAAGATTGCGTTGCTTAGGTTGCTTCCTTACTATGGAAACCACAGGGTGCACTAGACAAGTGCATCATGCTGTCGAGTATGCAATCACATAACCTAAGTGGGAGACTTCCTTTGACAGGTGTCTCGATATCCGGACTGCAGCTCAATTCTGATATAGTAGGACCCATAGGACTGGGAAGTTTCAATCTTGGTGAATTGACGTGGCAGGGAAAGTTGGTTGCTTACGCACTCGTTTTGGTGTGGGTGTGGGGTTGTTCATTGGACATCATTGGACAGGGTTTATTGTGTTTCACCACTTTACTTCTTAGGCCTGGAGAGGACTACAGATGTTTGAACAGGGTGACAAGGAGTCGCATGCGCATTTGGCCAAGCAGCTGCCTTCGCTTTAGCAAGACTTTGCTTTTCGAACGAAACGCCTCGAACGTTCGGTGTGAAACGACCACATGCAGCATCGGCTTTTCTCGTCTCCATGTGTCCTTTCAATGCATGCGACGCATCCGCAATCAAAGGCAACTCCTGAAAACTGGTGGGTACTCGCGGGTGGCAACGTCACCCGACTGGCCAGAGGAAGACGGCGACCCTGGCAACTTGGACAGTCTGAACGGACCAGTTCGTCCAAGCCACCATAAGCCACCTAGACGACCTCGGAAATAGAGGATATGCCCTGAAGAGGGCGTCATTGTCGCAACTGACTCTCAACTGGTGTGATTTTTTCTCGCGTTTTTGAGCCTCAACTGGTTGGGTGGTAATCGGATGTACTAGGTATTATATATAATATAGAATAATTGGTCAATACAACTGGTGTTGAATCTGAAGAGCTTGGTCAGCTGTTTAAACAGTCATCCACATTGAAAGGTCATTCTGTGTACGTCGAAGAAGAAATGTCTTGAAGGATGCTCCTTTTTCCTCCATTGAAACCACGAGGAGGTTCCTCTCCAGCTTGGACGGACAACACTTTTATGTGTTGTCCGTTGCAGTTTGTTTGTGGTTCCATCGCTTCTAGGTTGGAGGCCATCGCTATTACTGTAGGTGGGAGGCCATCGCTATTAGGTTGGGGTACAGAGCGGCCTTTAAACAAGTCCTTTCTGTTTGGTTGAGGCCAACTTCCTGGGAGTGTCAAGAGCATGGAGGAGCTGTAGTGATTTTTCCACGGACATGGTGACACACTGGAGCAGTTTTTTGGCCGCGTGTTGGCACAGTGGAGACACCGAGCTACAGAGCAGGTGAGCCTTCTATAGCTGTGGATGCTAATGGCAAGGCAGTGAATGCAAGCACAGATAAGAGGCGAGGGCTAGCTCACATCAAGGTTCATTGAAAACAATGTGCAAGTCATTGAAAACACAGTGCCCGTCAGGGAGCCCAGTTTGGGGCACGGAGCATCTGCTAACGAACCCGTCAAGAGATCGAGTGTAAACTGGGTGCCTTTCTCGAAGCTTGCAGGATGGTAGAGGTTCCGAGAAAGGTCCGGTTGGACGGAAAGGTCCCTTACAGATTGAAATATTTTGAAAAGGGATTGGCTGGTATGTGCAATCCCTAAAAGTAGAGCTTTTTTGAGGGAATTCTGAGAAACAAGAGCTGAGTTGAGCGGCGTCCGGCCAGTGAATTCTGCTTCAGTGTGACGCTTGCTGAATGGGTGATGGTCAAGACACACAAAAACACTGACAATGAAGGCAGCATAATATGACAACAACCATATAAGCCACTGCAACGCAAGCAGCAGAACTTGAGTTCGCGCCCCGTGATGGAGATTTGGACTGCTGCCCATAATGTCAAACACTGGAGTTGTCACACCGCCTTTCAAAGATCAGAGGCGCAGAGACTGGATCTCGGGACGCCCGTGTTGCTTCAGCGATCTTTTTCTGATCCGCCCTTGGTGTGTTTCCAAACTGTTGAGGAAGGTCCGATGCTTTCGATCCAGAGATCCATTTTGCCACTTAGCGAGCTCAAACGAGAACTCGAAATTGCTATGGTTCATGCGGCGTCTCACAAAAGCACCAGCGGAGAACTCGCTTTCCTTGATGGGAATGGTGGATCTCTCCCATATCACAAGCTATCACGCTTTGTGAGTGGCCATTTGGTGAAAAGACTTGATGGACTTGCACATTTTGCGGCCTGTCGAGTCACAGCTTTTGGCATTTGAGAAGTCGTGAGGGCTTTTGGCCCTTTCAAAAGACCAACTTGCAACCACTTCTTTGCTCATGTTGGAATGTCTACCCCTACACGTCTTTTCTGTTCGACGGATGTTGGGTCTTCAGCTTGGAGAACCTGCAATGGTTCATGGTGGCACCCACCCAAACTTGGCGGTTGGGTGTTTAGGTGTTGTACTTTAAAGGGAATCGAATAAGCAACGGTGCCTGTCAGTGCCTGTGATAGGAGTTGTGATTCAGCGTGAGCAAGGTCTTAAAACCCAGTCTTGCGGGTTCATTCCACTTAGGCTTAGAATGGCTTAGAACTGTTCATGTCATTTCTCAGAGCTTTGCGACCTTCCACAAAAGCATGTAAGACCCACCAGGCACCTGCCCTGTTCACCACGGTTACCAGTGATCATGCTGTGTCGGATGATTCCTGCCCACCCAGCTTGCATGTCCGTGGCTTAGGTCAGAGGGTGCAGGTGAATCATCTGCGATTGATGAGCGTCCTGTCGTCGGCGTGACCAGGAACGCGCGATCAGAATCGATTAGAGGTGGAAACGTCGCCTGGTGATTGCTGGTCAAAAGTCTTTGCGAATCAGTGCCAGGTCAGGACTTGGCAGCTTGCTGTTTTAATCATTTTCTCACCCTCACCAAGCCTCGCTTGCTTTGACACATGTAACATCTAGACACTTTTCCAAAAACATGACCGAATCAAGCTGTGGCCATGGTTCAAAATAGAGCACCAAGTCCGTCATAAAGGTCTTCCAACCATCGATGCTTACGAACACGAAAGCTTTACTGTGACGGTTTACTCTGGGGCTATGAGGTTGCCAATAGAAATGTCCGGGAATCCTGAAGCAAAGTTCACCCTGCAAAGCCTCTATATCAAAGCACCCTTCTTTCCACCTGTCGAAAATCGTTTGAAGCACTATCTTTTGAGTGACATGGAATCTACTTTTTGGTATCAAAGCTCGGAGAGGATGTCAGAGACTCCAGTCCAAGACGAAAGGGTCTTCTGAATTCCACTGCTTGGCCTGTCAGCCATGCATACGCGGGGCCGCCGCGCTGAACGCGGCTGGAAGGACCGTGGGCTGAGTATAGCCTTGAAAGACAAGTGAACTGAAACACTTTCCCACCAGGAAGTATATATCAGCATTTTAATTATGTGTTTTCATGCATAAAGGGGATGTAATTCGATTCGATTACTGAACGTGTGCAGGGGTGAAGTGCTTGGAAAATCACCTTTGAAGGTTTTTGGAATATTTTGGAATATCGTTTATCATTTGAGAAGCGTGCACGGTGTTTGATGGTATTTGCTACGGAAACATCCCCGTTGCTACCGGCTATCTAAAGTGAGTGTGCTCGACCACGGAAAAGCCTTTTTATTTGACACATTTAGTGGATTAATTTATCTAAAATGGGTCTCAAATAAAATGGTTGGCAGCGACAGATTTGCACACTTGTCAAATTAGCCAGTTTGGGCCAAAACCGTTTGCGAGAGTGGGTTTCTTTTTGCACGTGTTAAGTTAAATGACATGTGCAGCTTTGAAGTGTGAAAAATATTGAAAAATCATTTTAGATAACCACTTTTTGGATCAATTGGGGGGAGTGAACCTCAGTATCCGGTAGCAACGGGATGCAGAAACTCTTTCAATGAACGACAGTGGAACTCTGTTGGATACAAGGATCCCACTGCCAGACCGCCAAGTCTTGAAGCACTACTCCTCACTCTGGTCGAAGTCTTGGCTTTCCCCAGGCCGGATGCGGACCATTCTCTGGTTGGAACTGCTGCGGCCACCGCTTGGCCCCACGGGTGGTGCAGCTCGGCTTTGAGCGGGCGCCGCATCACCCGGGACCCGGATCCTGGATGACTGTGAGTAAATGATTGAACACACTCAGGACATGGTGAGTCGGTGGCCTGAATCAGACGAAGAATTGAAGTGCTGTGTGTGCTGTATATGTGGTACTGGGAGAATTCACGGTGCATTTTCTCGATGTTCACTCTACCCGGTTCTACCCCAATAATTCACCAAGTCGATGCACCGTCCGTTCATGATGGACGAATATTCATGGTTCAAAATCAATTGACTTGCCGAGATCTTTGGACACTTGGCCGGTCAGGTGGTTGGTGCTGGCAGCTGCAACTTGCACAATCTCCTTGAATTTTGCCGGAGAGCTCAACAAAGCAGCACATGCCAGAAGCACAAAGGACAGGGAAAGATCTTCAAACCAGTCAACGTTTAACATGTTGCAGGACACATGTGGGAACCAGTGAATGACGTGGTTTTCCATGGTTTCCAATGGTTTTTCCACCTCGGCCAGACCTTGGAAGGCCTCTCCAAATCGCTTCTCTCAGGTCACAAGATGGTCACCCTACCGGACCTGGTCGCTCAGGTCGCTCGCGCCCAGGTGTGCGACCGGGGCGGGTTCTCTGATCAGGGCTCGGAGCAGCCGCTCAACCTCCAGACTGCGTGGCATTCTAGCTATTTATACAATGCTATTTCATGCTACTTAGCTGAATCTAGCCTATTGCACTGCTGCGCTTAGAATTGACTTCGAGTTGAAAGAAACAATGGCTGTAACAGCTCTTCAAATCTTTTCACTCTTCCATACTCTTCCATTTTTTCAAAGGCTTTAAGGCAGATGGAAGAATCCTGCCTGAGATTGGGCTTTGTGTGGAACCATGGGGGAGCAAAAGGGTTTAGCACGTGCTCCCATTCAAGGCCAGGCATTTCGCCGCGGGGAGCCCTAGCGGGCGCCCCCAGCCGCTGCTGGTGCCGCGGAAGGAGGGGCCACAGTGGCCGGGAGCCCCGACCTGACTGTGCTTGGGACATGTTGATGGACACTGTTCATGGTTTTTCAAAGGAATATAGGAATCTCTGAGAGTGATTTCCACCAAACTCATCCCCCCTCCGATTACAAGGGTTCAGAGTGAAGAAGTGCAGTGTCACATACCAAGTTGCATGGATCGCTTTCTCAGATCTCCTCAGATTCTGCTAGGGAGAACCCACTTTGAACCTGAAGCCAGCGTCAATCCGCAGGTGGGATGCCCGGAACTCTGCCAGCCCAGTGGTGAAGCCACCAAGCCAAGCAGGTGGCAGGGAATCCTAGGGGTGGCTCACGCTACTAGATCTTGACTCTCCAGCTCTTTTCGATGAGTGACAACTACTGAAGATTCTCATCCACCCAAATGGCTACATCTCTGGACTGCGCACTGTTTGAGGGGTTCAGGAGGCGTTGTTTTGTTTGGTTCGGACATACTGATAACCAACTGAAACAGCTTCTGTTCCACATTGGAGGAAGCCGCCCACATTGACTCTTGATGACCTCATCAAACCTTTGTCAAGAGCCCATGCTGGAGGACGGAGGATGTTCACAGCCTTCAACCTGTCCATTCAAATTGAATTCCCGGAAGCAGCCTCCTTCAAGGGATAGGGTTGATAAACATGCCAAACCGGATGCAACTCTGTTGGGGATGTGCGAAAAGTTCCAAAAGGCATTCCGGGAATTGTTTGTGTGACATTGATTCACATCGGGGTAAGAATTGCTCGGAACATCTTCTGAAATTCTCAGGTCCTTGGCGGATGTGGTACTATGGACGTGCAGGCGGGTGGAGATTTTCACAGTCATGTTCAATCCGGGAGGTTTGGAGATTCGATGAGAATCGATGTGGATCAAAAGAGGGAAACCCGAAGATATCTGAACATCATCAATGAGGTAACTTTTTCTCACAAACTCAATGGACTTCTACTCGGCTCCCAGGTGCCGAGTGGTCGAAGGGCCTCAAGGCCTTCCTCCCCACCGGCCGTATCGGCTGCGCTGAGAGCGACGACGGCCTTAAGTGGCGCCGGCGAAAGGGGCCCTTAGAGGTGCCGTAGAAAGGGGGGCAGAAAGGGCTGTGGGAAGGGGATGGTGGGTTCGTTGAGGACGGTGGTGATCGTTGGGATGGATAGGAGTGGGTTTGGTAAGGATATGTGACACGGAGTGTGACACGGATGATCGGTTAGAGTGGTCTTTTGGGGACATGCGGGAATTTTTCACGACCACCAATAAGCAGCTTGCCGGGTCGGCTTGTTTCCTTGAGCGGGTACTCTCTTTACTTTCTAAATATGTCCATGTTATTCTAGAGGGAAGAACTTCGGAATTGATCTTGAGGTCGTGGAATCTTTGGTTCAACTATATAAGTGGTTCCTCTAAGTGGTTCCTCTCATTGGACTGATAGATCCGCTGGTGCTTCATCAGAAGTTTGATTTCTTGTTCCCTCACAACCCCCCCACTTTTCTGAGATGTCACATCTCATAAAAGTCAGCAGATAAACAAGAACAACACGTTACATGACTCGAATATTTTTGGCTGATAAGAGTCATGACAGAGGCCAGAAACTAACCCTGGCGCTTTTAAAGACAATTAGATTTTTATATACGGTATATGTATATATTATATGTTTGACTTGTGACGGATCATTGAACCATGTTTGTTCTGATGTTTGACAAGTTTGGCATTGGCGCTTTCCATAATTTCCCCCTTCAAACTATCCCTCCTGCCAAAAAGGCACCCAAGCCTGTCTCCAGCCAAGCAGGGTGGCGCCTGCTTGGACCCCTCAGAGGAGGGCTTCGATTGCGTGCACGTTGGGGTGGGTCCGGCCACTCAGTGCGATACCGACCCATGGCCGATGCTGCACCAAACGACTCGCTGTTTGGGTGTCAGAAGTTGAGGACTCACCGGAACGTGGCACAACCCATGGGGACAGGAGCATGGAACTTGAATATGCAGTTACCGAATAGTATATGGATGTGTATAAGTACGTAATTCCTGCTAAAGGAACCCAAGTGATTTCAAAGTCCGTGGGCTACTTGTTGGGAATGTTTCTTGAACCTCCAGTTTTGCTGGATGGCATGCTGAGTCGAACGTTGTAGATGCGATCATATTTGAGAAGACGACCAAACATAATCTCTATGTTGGACCCGCCTTCTGGATGAGGTGAGGCCTCCAATGGAGCTGAACAGAGGCGAGGGCCCACCCAGCGTCTCGCTCCTCGCTACAGGGGATGTGGTGGAGCTGCCCAATGGCACCCTTTGGATGTACTACTTTGGAGGCGGAGACGGTGACAGAGACAGAGAGTGGTGGGCAGATGCCAAGGATGTCAGGTTGGATGACGGTTGGACGATGCGAAGATAGTTGGTCTAAGATGTTTGATGATGTTTGCATTATGGCTGGATCTGTGGATGATCCAGACTTCGGGTGTTCAATGACGAACGCAAAAGCTTGCATTCAGCTACCTCACAACGAACGCTCCTCCCAGTTGGTCCGTGGATGCGCGACGATCAGTCACCAGCCTTCCCCTGTCCGTCGCTGATTTTTTTATGGTTCAACCACTGGTGCTCATGATACAACGACAATTTAGTTTTAATTTATTTTAGTTTCTTGATTGATACCAAGAATCCTTGAATCCACGTTCCATCACGTTCATCCATTTTCCACTTGTGGCACTGACCTCCAACATATATATCTTGGCAATGACCGGCGCAGGAGGCCTGGATGGATTGCCCAACGAAGGCATTCGCATGCAGATTGGCTGCCTGGAAGCACCGGACCGGTGCAACTAGGTGAGTGAAGGTGGCGGGAACGTGGGGTTCACTGGACATGTTTTTGACATTGATGTCGATTATAGTGAGTTGATCATGTGCCATAGAGGGCAGTGGCTGAATTTTGAGTCTCGCAACGTGGGGTCTTGAGAAAACGACTCACCAGGAAATGGGTGTGTGTCAACATCACTGTGACCTGCCAGTGAATGTGCTTCGGCTGTGGTGACTTGGCTCCGGCTGCTCATATTATCATGCCGGAGCCATGATGAAGTTGTTGCCACTCTGACTTGTGTGTTTGGAGGTGTGTACAAGATTTGACAGTCATTCTTGTCCACAGACACGACTGACAAGAGGCTGCAGCGCAAAGATCTTTGACAACTTACTCTCGGTCCAGCTCATGTGATTCGCAAGGAAAAAGTAACCACAAGCACACAAAAAGGCACGGAAATGCCGCTCCTGTGCGGCTCAACTCGGACTGACAACACCCTTCTTGCCTACAGCATCGACAACCTGATGGCTTTGGGATGTTCCGTAAGGCAAATCGCTGGATCTTCAGAGAAACAATTCAGAAGGCAAAGGCTGACGCTTTCGGCAAGCCACTGCAACACCGAAAACGCGATGCCTTCCACTGCAACACAAGGTTCGGCTTCGACAGGTTGGTTTCAACCACGGTGAGATGAAACCAGCTGTTGACACACTTCACAGAGTGAGCTGTACAGGAAGGCAACCGGGCCCCTAGCAGCATCACTCACTCAGCAACTCTCCATTCACGCAGAGTTGAAGAGGAGACGAGATTTCTCAAAGATTTGGAAATGGACTTGCACGCCGCGCTGGAGAGTGTACAACTTGGGTTTTTGTGAGACTATGAAGGTCCTTTGCTTCGTTCTGACAAGGAGATACAAGGAGTGGGTTGTATCTTCGAGTGAGATACGCATGTGTCTGAAGGAGGTGGATATGTTTCTATTTTCTGAAGACCGACCACGGCAAGGAATACTCACATGAATGCACCAAACCAACAACATCTGTCAGAAACAAAGCCGGGTTGTCAAACTGTGCACAACTTCGAGAAACATACTTTTCATGTCATGGATGAATGCTCGTGTTTGATACACTTAACAATGCTAAGTCATGAGTCAACAAGTTGTCACAAGCCGGTGAAGCGGGGACCCACATGCAACAAAGAACGCCGGCTTCTCATGTACTACAAGAAGTGTGTGCGAAAGTCACAAAAGACACAGGTGCCAGCCACCACTCACATGCACTCTGCAAGACTCACATGGAGTAGTCTCTGATTGTCTGGCAGATGTAGCGTGTGGAAGACGTGGCTGGGGAGTAGGGGGTCTTCTAACCACCACCCTAGAGGTAGATCAACCAAACAGAATTAACGTGAATGAATTACAATGAATTACTCCGGTCATTTGGGTACACTGGCCACAAAGTAGGTTGTATTAGGGGAACAGATGATGTTGATTGAGTTTGACTATTTGTGATACTACGCCATAACCATAGTCAAAGATCTTCCTATGGTACAACAGCTCGTCCTGGTTCCCTTCTTTACAACATAATTAGTCGTCGCTGGCACATCTCGATTGCCTCTCTATCCTCATATTGTGCCTTTGACATTGAATCCATGGACTCCAAAGTACTCCCAAAAGGGCCTCTTACCCCAGTGGAGGACCAGAAGCCTCCGGCCTCACCGGAGGCCTGGCCACTTCGGACGATGGCCTCACCTGGCACCGCGCGGGAGACGCGCTGCTGACGCCGAGCGGAGAGGACTTCGATGCCCTCTTCGTGGTGCGGAGCCCGTTGGGGGCGGAGCTGTGAAGCGGCGGTGACTGTTGGACCGTTGGAGAACGTTTGGGGTGTTCAGTTTGGGCAGTTTGGTGGGTTTCCCCAGAATGATATACAGTCGAGTCAAGCACACACCGGCACACGCCAAACCTGGTAGTTTCAACCTTGCCAGATGATGCCAGATACATGTGACATCATGTGACTAGCCTCAGCAGGCTATCCAGTTCATCTTCCAAACGCAAGGCCTGGCCTCGCGTGCTACCGCCCTGGCAGACCCGCGATGTGCTTGGCCTGTCTGGGAAGTGGTCCGGCGGCCCATTTGGGGATCGCCGGTCGAAAAGGAAAGGTGGGAGCGGCATATTTCGGGGACGTTGAGTAGTGGCGATACTTGTAGGACTGTCGTCACTGCAACATGTTTTTTGTCTCACTTACTGTAATTAGTTGTAGATGTTTCTACTAGCCAAAAGGCGAGGCAGTTGGACATTTTAAACTGAGGCAGAAGAGAAATTCTCCTTTGCACAAGACAGAATGAGGCCATTGTTTTGTCGGCTGTTGGGTTGATCTAAAGACTCAAGCAGGGGGCCCTCGAACCAGGAAAGGCTTCTCCTTTCACCAGCTCGACGCTTCAAAATTTGAGCGTTACACGGAATTGCTTTCAACTGGAGTCACCTGCCCAAAGTCTCAAACCGAGCTGAAGGGTGTTCAACCTCATTGACTCCGGGAAATATATGTGTGTAATAATACTGTTTTATACTATATGGGAGCTCACACATTTTCTTTGAGAATTTAATCCAAAAACGCTAATTACGCACCATTAAGAGACCAAACACAGGTTGCTCACAGGTTGCTCGGATTCCGGCTGCAGAATCCGTGAGTCACCGATGAGCATCGCAGGTACATGACCTACCACACCGCCCAGTTTGGCCCCGAAGGTTTGCGCTGGACTGCTGGCGCCGCATTGAGTGAAGATGGCCTGGTGTGGAGCAAGGCGAGAGGGTATGAAGCGGATCCGTCAGTCATGTCAGCGAAACAGAAGGAATTTCGTTCTTGGTACAACCACAACCACCATGATACTGGATTTGATTCATACACAAAGTACGAGGGCAAGCTGTTGCATTGTTACGTATTGTGTATTTTAAAATAGTTTAAAAGACCTCTATAGGATCAGGATCTACGTAGGTTTGAGAGATCAGCAGCACTTGGACCGGACTTTCCCAACAGTTATATGGCACGAACAGGGTGGACTCGTGGACATTCTCTGGAATTCTTGGAGGTTCCATGTCGAGCATATGGATGAAACGAGTGAGGCTCAATTGACAAAACCCTCATGCTGCCATGAACGCATGCATGAAGGGAATGCCGGCCCAGCGCATCCCAGTGCATGTTTGGATTGAGAGTCATGTAGAAAACGGACGGGTGCCGCAAAAACTAGATGCCCAACATCTCGATACATATCTTACATGATATGTTTTATGTAGTTTGGAGCCAGCCAGAGACCCCGACTTTTTCCCTTGGGAGTTTCCAGAACGAAAAGCCTCAGGTTGGCCCAATTTTGGGCCCCAGTGGTGGTGGTTGGGATGCCCTCGGCGCCACTTGGCAATTAACCGAGGATGACCGAGGGCAGATTGAAGGGGGGCTGAAGGTTCAAAATTTCTAAAATATAGCTGGGGTTCATGAAACATTGGTCCAAGCAGTACCCACAAGCCTAGCATGGAAGGTGGCTAGATAGCGACTTGGTAGCTGTTGTTCTAATTGGTTTGCTGGTGACTGGGCTTGCTGGGAGACGGGTAGACAAATAGCTTCAGGTGCCCTTCTTAGAGTCCAAAATACCAGCATGTCAAACCCTTTGGTCTATCCTTTGACAGGTCAAATCTGGTAAAATCCTTCTCAAGTTCCTTCTCAATATTCTCAGCTCTTGAGGTCATTCAAAGGGCCATCCGGATGCATCGCGCCAGGTCGGTGTGCGACATGTGCTGGTCAAGGACGGGGCGCTCACGATGCTTTACGAGGCTCCCAGTGCCTCGCGCGGTTGTGCTTCCACGAGGTGAACCTCCCGCTTCACCGGGCGCGGGTGTTCCGGAGGACCCTTTGGGACTTGGAGAGGGGTCCACCTGAACCTTTCCCATTCGTAGCGTGGGATCACGCTGTATATGATGTATGTTACAGGTTCAAGAGTGATGTTGCCGTCTTTGATTCCTTGCCTCACAAAAAAAAGAAACATGAATGTGGGAGCCCATGTTGCACCTTTTTGGTGCTTTGCAACATGTTCGGCCAACTGGGGGGGTTTTGCCCCAGCGTCAACATGTATCCGAGTTCACAGGGTTTTCGGGTGGGTGGGGGTGGGGGGGGTGGGGTCAGTTTCGTCCGTGTTACTACTCGCGTAGATCGACCTTCACGTTTCTTTGTCTATTTGGTGACGTGTCGTTCGCGGGACTACTTGGGTAATTCGACCTTCGCGTTGCTGCTTTTTGGCTTAGAGGACATGACGGGCTCGACGTTCGAGGCTTGTTTGTGTTTGTCGTTAGTTCTGTTGTTGCGTTTGGCCGGTTTGAGGTGCCCTTCCCCCAATTAATGAGCATTTGCGGGTCTTTTTCACGGCTGACCCTTATCTTTTGGATGCCCACATTGACGTTTGTACCCATGTCTCCGATCCGACTATATATCTTTTAAGGTTTCATTGTTAAGCTGTCGGTCACCCTTACGCTTCGATCGTCTCGTCGATTTTCGTTTGGTCTTCTTTGATACCTGGAATTCTTACTTGCATCGAAACAATATGTCTTTTACACCTTTCATGTGGAGTGCATTATGGCTCAGTATGGGTTCTTTCTAGACGTTTATGGCAAGTCAGAGAGATGTTGAACAAAACAGACATGTCAACAATTCTACAGAGCCTTTAATGGACACGCCATGTGTGACGCCGGAGATGCTGGCATCGGACGCAGAGTCGCAAGCTCGCGAGCGTTCTCTGCTTCGGACCACGCGGACGGCGATTCTCGTGTTAGACTCACCCGATCTTATGGCCAAGCGGTGCGAGTGGCAGCCTTTGTATAGATCTGACTGAATCTCCTGCGCGGTGTTCATCGGACGCGCGAAGACCGACGATGGAGGAAGCTTTATGTCTGAGTCTATGTTAAATTATCTGATTTTGTTAGTGGTTATTCGAAAATCGGAGAAGTAGTTTTCCGGATGCCTTGTTGGACAAAACATTTTAGGGGAGTCTTTGTCACCGCCAAATGAGTGTTCCCATAAATGCGGTGCTAAGCACTTTAGATAGGACGCATGTTTAACATTATCCGAAACATAGGTCGATTCATATCCCCGAACCATACCCTCGAAACATACCTGACTAAAAATGAGATGTTGCTTGTGGACCTTTTGTTGAGTTGTGTTGCTGTTGCCAATTGTTTGGCTTGGGGCCTCAGTCTCCTCACGGTTCTGATATCCTTTGATTCATGCCGGATTTCTTGGTGTGGCAAGAGTCGCGGCTTTCAACTAATGGCTATGCAACAACCTTTGTGTTGTCAGTGGGCGCAAGGAGCCGTTGGGTCTGCAGATGGCAAGACCAGAAGGAGGTTCAGCGGCTGAAAGAGTTGCGCGAAAAGTCCGGGTTAGAAACCTTGAGTGACTTGAAAGAGCTGGTGAAAAGTGCAAAGGTGAAAAGCCAGATAGCACTGACAAGCAACGCACCAAGACCGCCCACGCAGACAGCTCCGGGCCAAGCACCACGAAGACCTCGCCGGCAGACAGCTCCAAGCAAGACCCTCCGGAAAAGCGAGTCGCAGACGCCTCACAAGCAGACCGCTCTAAGCAAGACAGTCCAGCAACACACAGATGCCTCACAAGCAGACCGCTCCAAGCTAGACAGTCCGGACAAGCAAGACAGACGCAGACGCATACCAAGCAGACCGCGCCAAACAAGACAGTCTGGACAAGCAAAGTACAGACACCTCACAAGCAGACCGCACCAAACAAGACGTCCGGAAGAGCAAGACACTGGCAGTGTTAAGGCCAACAGCTGTAAGGCAGACAGTCCAGAACAGCAAGACACTGGCACTGTAGAAGCAAATATCCCCGAGCCAGACAGTCCAAAAAAGCGAGCCACAAAGGCTTCACTGGCAGATGGCCCAACTCCACCCAAGACGTCGCAGAAGAGAGAACCCTGGCGTACCAACAGGCTGCTTTAGAAGTTTTTCCACGCCAAGATGTCCTCGAATCTACCAAATATTATTGTTCTAACCGTTTGCCCTCAAGTTGTTGCGCAAGGTCGAGGGTTTTTCTCTAACGCCAAATGTGTTTCAGGACTTCTCCTACAAGATTTGGGGCAGCCCAAAGAAGCGTGAAGAGAAGTTCATACCACCACTACATCAGCCAAATATTGAACCATGATAGTTCCTTTGCAATTCAATGCCTCAATGACCTGCTCAAATCTCACTCTTTAACTGTCGCTCACACTGAGCTTGTGTTGTGGGCAGATTGCGGTCCTCATTTTAGGTCGTGTGACCCTTGGCAATGACATCGGTGCTGGATATAAGGAAGCTTTTGTGTTCTGCTTCGCAGTAGTAATCCCCATTTGGTTTCCTAGTTCTGTGCCCCTGCCGCAATGCTCAGGAGTTCTTGTGGAACTTGATCGAAATTTGCAAAGATGGAGCTTCCTTCCAACAAGTATGTTAGAACTTTTTTGCCGAACACCACGGCAAGGGACGCTGCGACGGTGCCTTCGGATTGCAGCGAAGATGGGTTGCGGATTGGGCACAGGAGCATACCATTTCTTGTCTTGAAGACACGCGGAAAGGCGTTGAGCATGGGATGCAGGAGACCATGTGGGCCCCAGTTACTTTGTCAAAGCCTTTGCGCCGCCCAAGCCCCAGACAATAAAGAAGCTGGATGTGTCAGCGAACAAATTCAACATCGAGTATTGCTACTGCATCACGCTAGAACGCATTGCTGGTGGGCGTGTCCGGGCAAAAGACATGATCTTTTTGGATCGGCTACATGGAGAGACCATTAGCCCCCTTGTTTGTTTGCAGATCAAAGCTGATGAGGGATGGCGCTTGGCACTATTCATACAGAGATTCCAGCCAGAAAAGAATCGACTGAACACTGAGATTTTACGTCTCTGGATGGGGTGACTCGACGAGATCCATACCTTCCGCGAGAGAGAAATTGGCAGCCAAAAGATCTGCAAAGCAGAGACAGGCAAAAGCTGCTCTGTCTGTTTATTTGCAGATGGATTCTGGTTCAAGCTCCTCCTCCAGCGACAGCAGTTGAGGTTGTTCTTAGCACCTTGCAACATACCCCGAAACATACCTCCGAATCATACCTCTAGGCTTAACATGCATGGCCGACTCCGCTATTTCCGGAAACAGCCAAATGAATGGGACAGTCCGCCGTGTAGGCGAGCCAAGATTGAGTATTGGACGAACAGCACACCAGCCCTGGCAGCGGCAGAGCAACCGCAGAGAATCAATAGCGGGGCTGCTGGCTCTTCTCGCGAGTCTTGTTGGTTATCCTGTGAATGCCCCACGCAAAGGCTCCTTTTTTGGTTAGTCATGACCTATTTCAGACTCGAACGTGCCGGGACCGACTAACCATTTGGTCTTTGAATCTCCGGACACCAATGCCACTGCCTCTGGGTATGCGCAAGGGTCTCCTGAAGACGGCTACGTGTGTGCGCGGCCTTCGCGCGACTGCAGGAGAGTAAAGCCATGTGCTTTGATGACCCCGGGACGGTGGACGTCAACGGCGCGAGAACTTTTGGCAAGCTGAAGCCTTTTGACAAGAGGGCTTTGACTGCCAAAGCCAAGGCGCAGTTGCGCAAGAAGCCGGCAGTGCGATCTGGAAAAGCCGCCTCCAAAAAGCCAGCCTCCATGATCCACACAACTAGTGGTCAGCATCAGCAAGCAGTTCTTCCTTTGAACAAACGGATCACCAAGAAAGGCGCCCCGGGACCGCCTGAGAGCAAGGATATGAAGTGTTACCGCTCTTGAAAACGAAGCTCTGCAGCAGCAAACATATCGTGGGCAGTGGCGCTTCCAAGGGCCTTCAAGGTGCTTACAATGAGATGAACCTGACTGCTGCCACGGCGAGTCACTCCCAGAGTGAGTTGACACCTTCCAAAAAAGGTCCTGCAAGCGTTCAAGCACAGTAGCTTCAGCCGTTCCTCTTCTTCTGCCAGACCCATGTTGCTCGAGAAACAGAGCAAGGTTACGGTCGTTGGTGGAGGCCAAGGTACAGAAAGCTTGGCAGCAGTGATCAAGAAATCACTGCGTAGAATGGGTCTTCTTGGCCGCTGCGATGCAAAGCTGCAACGAGAGCAACGTTGAAGGCCTCGCAGCTTTGTGGTTCAGCCAACATCCAGGGTTGGACTCAATGCTCACAACCTGTGAGAATACATAGAGAAGCTGCGCAAGACACTTGTACGCCAGCTCAAATGTACAGTGAGCTGTCATGGCTCAGTTGGGAACAAGACTGAGATCTGGCGTGTAAAGAAAAGGTGCCTTCAGATGCATATCATGGAGCAGGTGGATCCGAGGACTGGACTGAATGGTCTTCAAAAGGCACTCAGCTTATCGTCTTGGAATTAGTGAATTCCAAGGCGATAAAGTTGAGTGTCCGGAAACCTACGAAACCCTGTAAGCGCAAGGCTTTCTGACCCTCTATGTTGCAGTCGGGACAAGCCCCCCCCGTTTACCCAACATGTTGCAAAAGTGATAACCGCTGGGTGAAGAAGCGGCTTCGCCACCGCTTGAGCAGATGGAGTCCTGCCGTTGTTGAGGCGGTGGATGAGCAGGGCGACCACGCGGTGGGCCTTGCCGTGAGCTCCGACGGCCTCACCTGGCGACGCCAGGAGGTGCCGGGCCGCGCAGCCGGTGGCCCAGTGCTGCGGAAGGCAGCTTGGCGGTGCGGGGGGGGGAAGAGGACCGAGCCACAAGGAGATTGGCTGAAGAGAGTGGACATCACAGTTGAAGATCGAAAGGCAACCATTTGTGCTGGAACTGCGTGTCCAGGTTTCAAGCTGTTGGCGTGGAACCATTCTTTGCGATTTCTTTGCGTTTGATACCCCTGTGTAGGGCGAAGATGGAGATTGGGACAGCCGTGTGGTGGGGACACCCTATGCCGTGGCTCCGGTGGGCGACGCGCCTTGGCGCCTCTACTATGTGGGAGAGGCAAGGTCCGAGATCTGGCATCTGACAGTGGGACAGTTGTGACATGTTATGACGGTTAAAGGTTAAAAGGATTTCCAGGATTCCTGACTTTGAGCATCTGTGTAAACCCTCATGCGCCAAAAAGGTCCATCAACCGACCTTTCTGCATCAGAGATCTCTTTTTGATGGGTCACAGGATTGGGCCTCCGCACCCATTCAAATGGAACCTGACTGGACTGGATGGAATCAGAATTGGAGAGCGAAGAACCGCTGTGAAAGGCAGAGAGGCAAAGTTCCAGGTATAGGTTTTAAAAAAAACTACTAGTAGCTAAGAACATTACAACTTGTAGCAAGAAACTACTAGTAACAAACTAAAGGAAACAGCCTTGTTCAATATGTTCAAAGGACAATTGGACGTCGCAGTGGGGGCTGTGTTGGACCCTCTAGTTTTCTTTTGCATGCGGCTACCCTGTAAAACATCTGCATGTTGTGTACACGCTGCTCCACCGCTTCGGGAGGCCAAAGGAAGCCCTGGGCTGCGCATCGGAGTAGCGGAGTGTGCCTTGGTGCCGATCGCCGACGATTCAGGGACATAGGCGCCATATGGCGCCATGTTTTTTTTTCAATAAGGCTGAACCTCATGCGGTTCATATAATTACGTAATAACATGCGTTGGTCCTGTTTGTTCAAGAGAAGAAACATAGCAATGACATGCAATGAATTGCGATAAGTTTCCTTTTAAAAACATAGACTTTTTAAATCGTTACTTGGACTCTAACAGTTGGGACAAGGTATGACTGACGCGTTCATTGAGTAATGCAACGGGAAACTGTTTGAAACGGCACGCATGTCCGAATTTTGTTGTTCAACTCATCCAGGCTGGCAAATCAACAACTCTGACGCCGGCCCAGACAACTCATCAGTCGTGTTTTTGTGTGTTTTGAAGTTGTTTGTGGTTTTCTGCAGAGTTGTACATTGTACATGTAAGTAAAGGAATTTCGAGCCCATCCTTGAAAATTGTCGTTTGGCAAGAAACCCAACTACAATGCAGCCTTAAACCGAGATTTTAATTGTTTCCGTTCCTCACTGGCTATGCCAACGCCTTGCTGCTTCTTTTGACGTTGCTTAATTGCAGGGTATGCCCGCCGTCTTAGATGTCAGATCTTGACTTTATTGATGCGACGGAGTGAATTCCGCATGTTTGCCTTGACACCGATGAAGATGCTGAGAACCCCCCAATTTCAGAACACTTTTGTTGGATGACAATGCTGTGAAACCGATGACAATGTTATGAAGCTGACGAAGATGGTGATGATATTTGGGACGTTGATGATCTTGAAAAAACATAGAACACTACTACTTACTATATACTTACTACAGTACTATACTCGAGCTGGAAGCAAAAGCAAGGTCAAGACCAACTTCAGCCAGAGCTCCAAGCAAGTCGCTCAAGTCAACGATGAACATGCTCCAGTAGTACATGTGGACGTGGACGTGTGCCATAGTCAAAACATGGGTCATCCACCTCTTGGTCACTCTTGGTAGAGGTACTTGTAGGATGACCATCCTCCACGAAGAATTTTGACCGTAACGAAAGCGAATAAGCTTGATCCGAAAGACTCATGGCACCTCAGTGGTGAGGCTACGAAGATGATCTACTGTGCTGGCGCAAGCGAGGCAGGGTCAAGACCTGGTCACCTTTTTTGAGTTATATTTTTAAAAATATAACATGGTTTTAAGGAAGGACACCCTCCATGAGGCAGTGCTTATCCTCGCACTAGAAGGTTTGGGACTTCAAACGTTCCCGAGTTCCTAGCCATTTCCACGCAACACCTGCTGATGCGTCCGGCGGTCCTGCGATCTTTGACTCATTTTTCCCAGAGTTTTTCGTGTCACGGTGTCACGTTAGGAGCTGAAGCAATGGACTTGCCAAAGGACGCCAGGGAGGGGCTTTACAAGCGTCCGGCGGCCCAGAGGGGCCTGAGAGCCCTGGTCTTCGTTGCTGGAGGGAGGCTATGTAGCTGCATGCGGCTGGGTGACTTAATTAGGTGGCACACAGCAGTATGCAAGGCATGAAAGGATAAGGACTCTTTGCCCTGATCAAGTGGCCAGATCTTGTCAACACTGTAAGGTATTCAATCTGTAGATGTCTATGTTTGTTGGAGTGTGGCTTAGTGGAAAGACACTCAGTGCCACATTCTGCCGCAGTGGTTTAGAGGGTCGATGTATGGGTACATCTCATAGACATGTTTGTACATCTATAATCATCTATACACCTACAAGTCAGGCCTTTGATTGGCAGCTTCACCACAAGGGTTGGTCACCGGTTGGGGGTTTCCAGGGGCCGAACAGTCCTTCACCGGTGTCCGTTTGTCTCAGCCCGAATAGCTACGAAGCGATGTCCCGAGCCTCACTCTTGATTGCTTGAGCTTTGTCATCCAGTCATCGAGTTGATGCACATGGACAAACATGGGGATAAACCGTGATTAGGTAGAAGAACCAGCGGTACTGAGGGACATAAAAGTGGTTGTATAGAAAGAATGGATGGGAGGGAGGGTAGAGAAAGTCACCTCCTCGTTCAGTGAAGGCTCAAGAGAGCCTCCACCACCTGACTGTTTTCTTTTGAGCGCGAGCCTGCAGATGGATGGTGCTGCTGTCCTTGAGCGACGCGCAGGAGATCCACATCATTCCGGACCTCCTGAGGCACCTGAACGTGCAAGATGAACTGTGGGATGCTTTCCTCGCGGCCGCTGGGGATCCAGGAAATGACGTGAGGCTCCTGGCGGCTATGCCCTACTGGACGATTCCTCAAATCGTTGGGACTGCCCTTCTCCCCAATGGCAGTCGACTCACACCCATCCAAGCAGCTCAGGTGGGGTTAGTTTGGCGCAATGCACGTTGGGTGATTCATGTACGTGGAGGAGGGAATCCAGAGGCCTTCGTGGACCGCGATCCATGGGTGCCAGAAACTGGTTCGGGACCTCCTGATGGTACAGGTACCGGTGGTGGTGCGGGGGGGACACCCGCGGGAACGGGAGGAGGATCTAGTGGAGGCAAGGACAATGTCTTGAAGATGTCAAACATCGTGGACCAAACGGATGACTCGGAGACGAGGCTTCCCGATGCAGTACTCCTCAACGAATGGGCACAGCGATACATTGCAACTATGGGCGCCCCCCCTCAAGAAGAAGAAGAGCCTACAGATGCACAGTTGGCGGCACTACATCACAGAGTTCGTGTTCAGCGACAGCCACCATACATGGACTTCTCCGTGTGGCTTCCTTTTGGCAGGAGGGTCCTCAAGAACCAAAAGTTTCGGGCTTTCCTTCCCATAGGCGATGGTTCGTTCGTGATGAAAGAACTTCCAGGACCACAAAACCTACAGCAGTGGTTGGTGAGCTGGCGGGTGTTTAAAGTGGCGTGCATCTCCCTGAACTTGGTGACCCTGGCCGCCCTCCTCCTGTACGAAAAGGTCATAGAAAAGCTGGTGCTACAATGGCCAAAGGCTTGGGGCTTGATTGCGCAGGCTGATGACAAGGCCAGGGCGGAGAAGTTGGAGAAGACTAGGAGGGCAATTGTTTTGGACATTGCTGCAGGGGGCACGGCTCCGAGAGAGTTCACCGAGGACGAACCTTGGACTGCGTGCTTTAGGGCTCTGGCCTTGGACGAGAGGTTTTGGAACGAGCAAGTGCGGCACCCAGCGGCGGCATGGTTAGCTAGCGGCGGACATGGCTCACCGAAACCTCCGGCTGAGACGATAGCCATGGTACACATTCCTGGACCTCCTGCAGAACGTGGTGATGATGAAGACAGAGGAGATCGCCGCAGACAGGCGAACAGAGACAAGCGCATGGCGAAGAGGAAGCGTTGGGCTTCGGAGAGGGAAGAGTTGGCCAACTTTAGAGAACAAAGGTCAAAAGGTGACTTCAGCAAAGGCAAAGGCAAAGGAAAAGGAAAGGACCAGGCAGGTCAGGAGATTTGCTACAGCTGGGCCAAGAGCGTTGGGCCATGTGCTGGACTTCCCCCAGGGTCTGAGTGCAAAGGGAAGATCAAGAGAGTGCACAAGTGCATGACATGTTTTTCACCCTCGCATCCGAACGCGGAATGCCCGCGAAAGGCAGCATCCCCCTCGTGATCCCGAAGTGGACTGGGGACAAAGGGTGCTGCGCCTTCTTGTGTTGTTGGCAAGAGGGGTGTGCGGGTAAGTACGTGTGTGGTAGGGATGCGTGATAGGGAGGTGATTGAGGGAAGTTTGAGGTGATGGTTCACGGACTCGGAGGGGTTGTTTCGGGTTCGTGGGTCGTGTCGGGGCGTTCGCGTGCGCGCGCAGCGGTATGCGGTGAATGAACCGTGCAGCTCGGGCCCCAGGCGGGCGGAGCGGAGAGAGCGGCGCGTGGGGGGACGGTGGACCTCATGGCGAGCGCCTCGACGGATGGACCGGGGGGCGAGATGAACATCATGCCCGAGAGGATCAAGGAGGCACTGGAACAAGCACGTGATTTCCCCGAATACCAAGAGTTGAGGGTGTTCAGGTTTCTTCACATGTTCAGTGGTGAACGAGATGTCCTCGGAGAGTGCCTCAAGGAGATGGCGAAGAAGGAGGGCTTGCAGGTTGAGGTGTACAGCCTGGACAAGAAGGGCGAAGGAGACGTGGACCTCGCGAAGGACCACCCCTTTCTCGAGTTGAAGGAGGAGGTGGAGGCTCATGCCTTTGACGCCGGGCACGCGGGTTTTCCCTGTAATACTTTCAGCAGGGCAAGATGGAATATGGACTTTCGCGGACCCCCACCCGTGAGATCCCTTCAACATATATATGGGCTCCCATCCAATTTGGTTGAGGAACAGCAGATGGCGGATGTTGGGACGTTGTTGGCATCGAGATCGGTCGTCGTCATCGGGGCCATCCTCAAGAGCCAGAGGTTGAGGCAGGTTCCACAGGCGGGGGCCCTAGAAAACCCTCCAGGTTCCAGCACGCGAGAAGAAGGACCCGCGTGGGAGCTTCCAGAGATCAAGGCGTTCATGGACGCGTTTGAGGGTCAGGTTGCAGACTACAACACGTGTTCGTTTCAGACGGAGGAGCGTGTGAGGTGGTTCAAACCTGGTCGCTTTGCAGGGAGGTTGCTGGACCTTGAGACTTTGAAGAAATCCTGCACCTGTGGCCAATGGATTCGTCATGAACCTCTTGTAGGACATCAAAAGACGGCAGCGGCAGCACAATATCCGAAACAGTTGTGCGAGGCCTACTGCAAGCTCCTGATCACGGCCTTCAAGCACACGCTCCAACTGGAATACTGGCGAAACACGCTCAAGACGAAGGAGCAGGAGGTGTCGGGGTTGAAGAGGAAGTGGATTGAGAGCAAGGAGAAGATTTATCGGGGACCCCCTGAAGGACGTCCGACGGCGGATCCATCGAAGAGAGTTTGGGAGTCGACCCAAATCAATCAGGATCTGAGGCCCATCATGGGGATGTCCAAGAAGGCTAGGCGCGAGGAGGAGAATGAGCGCTACATTGGAGGCATGCGGAACCCCGGTAGAGCAGTAGAAAAGTTGTCTGTGTTGAGAAGAGTCGGCATGGACGTGGGCCGAATCTGGGACCGCTTCATTGAGGACTATCCCGAGGCGCTTGAGGTGGCAAAGAACTACAGCTCCCAGGGCAATCGACCAAACATGGAAGTGGAAATGGCCTGGAAGGGGGCGCTGAAGCAGTTCTTCCAGACGAGGGCCTTCACGGACATCGTCTTGAAGGACAAGTATGAATTCGACTCCCCGCTGGACCCGGAACTGTGGGAAGCATGGCTGAAGACAGCGGCCGACCCAGAGCAGCATCTGGTGGAATGGATTCGGAAGGGGGTGCCGCTGTGGATGAGCAAAGAGATCCCATGTTGCGGGATCTTTCCGATGTCAGATGACCCGGAACAGGAGGTTGAGGAGACGCCGGAGTTGGCCAACCAGCTGGGGATGGAAAACTACAAGAGCTTCACTGATGAACCAGAGCATGCCAAAGCAGAGTTGGGCAGGTTGGTGGCAGAAGGCTTTGCGGTGGTCCTCCCGACGAACAAGGCCAGCGCTATGCACCAAAGGGGCACGGTCTCGAAACTGGCGTTGTTGGTGAAAGCTAAGGAGGATGGCACCGTGAAGAGACGGATCATAATTGACCTACTACGATCCGGGGGCAACGCCAGGTGCAAGGTGCCGGAGAGAATTGTTCTCCCCAGGGTAATGGATGTGGTGGACAGCTTCAGGTACCTGTGGAAGACACGAGACAGGATGCCCATCAAAGCACGAGATGAAGAATGGGAGTTGGATGAGGACAGGCCGGAAGGTGGGATCTATGATTTCGAGATGGTCACGGCAGATCTGAGCGACGCGTACTGTCATCTTCCAGTCCACCCAGATGAGCATCACAATTGCCTATCGCCGGGCATTTACCCCTCGGAGACGCTCATGTGGGTAGCAATGCTCTTTGGCTTCCGTGGTGCGCCTCTGTTGATGGGAAGGTTTGCGGCTTGCTTAGCTCGGATCTGGCAATCCCTCATTGCACCATCGGAGATGCAGAGCCAGTTGTACATGGACGACCCCATGTGGATCCTACGCGGTCCGACCTCCAGACGGAACAGGAATCTGGCACTCCTCCTATACACGGCCCGTGCGCTTGGCATCAACCTGGCCTGGCACAAAGGCTCCCGAGGAAGTCAGCTGACTTGGATCGGGGTGATGTTTGAGGTGATGCAGGCGGAGGCTGAAGTGAAGCTCACAGTGCCAAGGAAGATGATGGAGGAGATTCGTGGCAGCCTGGAATCTTGGGAATCGAAGGGGATGATTAGCCTTCGTGAAGTGCAGCAAGTTACAGGCAGGCTTTCTTGGGTGGCTGGCATCCTTCCGAGAACAAGGTGGGCAGTCAGCATAATGTATGCCGTGATCGCTGACGTCAAACGGGCAGAAGAAGATGAACGCAGGCGGGCATCACAGAGGTCAGATACCAGGCCAAAGCATGGATTGGTGTCAGTCAAGCGACTGGAGCTGCCAAGGCGGTGGTTCATGGTCTTCTTCAAGGACCCGGACGTGTTGGCGCTGAGGAAGGAGCCCATGGAGGAACGCCCACCGGACTTTGCAATCGTGACGGACGCCTCGCCACAGGGCATCGGGGCAGTGCTGGCCACGGTGGACCACAACGTGGGCCAGACGTTCACGATTTTGGAGGCGCTGGAGATCCCCGTGTTGGAGGAGGACGCCAAGTGGTTGGGCGTTGAGTGGAAAGAATCTTCATCCCAGGGTCCACTGGAAGCATGGGCAGTGAAATTGGCCTTCAGGAGATGGGGGACGAGACTTGAAGGGAAGAGCGTGATTCTGCGAAGTGACAGCGTGGTCGCATTGGCTATGACGAAACGGCTGTCATCACCCTCACCTGTCATCAACTGGATCGGGGCAGAGTTGGCCATCAGGTGCGACAGGCACGGAGTCAAGCGGGTGATCACGCAGCACATCCCAGGGAACTGGAATGTCGAGGCGGATTGGCTGTCCAGGCCTCATGAGCGCAATCCCGCCAGGCCTGAACGACTGAAAGACGTGCCAATCAAGACCTTCCCGAGGAACCTGATCCATGGCTCATACCTGAGTCCACCGGGCGTTTCACCGGCGTTGTGGGGCGCATCCGCAAGCCAAGTGTCGGGAGCCTTCGAGCTGCTGTGAACGGATGGTGTACAAAAGTAGCACCATTCTCGGCTTGAGGGAGGGACCCACACCACCGGGAGAGGCGGGTGTGTGTTCGCTGACGGTTTGAGACGGTGTCGCCTTCCCCGTTTGCCCCTCGTGAAGGCACCGGTTCGATGGGTTCGCCGGGGGGGGGACTTGACCGGGGGACGGACACAGGGGACCAGCGGCGCGTAGCGTGGGCTCAATGGAGGGTGCTTTGCAAGTCAGCCCTCCCCACGGGGTGGATGCGCAGCCTTGGTCTTACGGCGAGTTCGCGGTGCTAGCTGGGTGGGCTTTCTTTTTGTGGACGCTCACTCGGTGGAGTTGGGCCCTGATCAGCTATCTGGGCTGCACACGCCGAATCAGCACTCCGCGGAAACCAGGGAGGAACTTCGAGGCGGAGTTTGAGAAGGAGATCCCCTCATGTTTCAAGGACACGGGCAGGGACAAAAGAAGAGACCTGCCACGAGACCTCTCCCCACCAGCCAAACGAGAGGGGAATCGGCCAAGCAGTGTAACGCCAGAGAGGCAATCCCGAACAAGCACCATGAAGGATTCGCCAGAAGCCAAATGGGCACAGGCACAAATCCTGGAAGCAATGGTCCAACGTGCTCAACCCGTGGTTCAAGACCTCCAAGACATGCATCGCCTTGGTGGTGGGGGTCCTCAGCCAACGCTACGACGTGGTTCCCGACTCCCATGACACCGAGGAGGACGATGGGGGTGCTGGGCTACAAATTCGGGGACCCCATGAAGTGCATGACAGGTTTAATTCGTGATGGAGCAGGTGGTCGAGGAAAGTGTGAGAGAGAGGAAGCGAAGGACAGCCAGGTGAAGAGGGATAGCGCCCCGGCTGTGAAGGAAAAGCAGATGAGGCAGGACCACGAAATGCCCACGAAGAAGAGATCGTTTGAGGCAGTCATGGACATCCTGCAGGGCGAGAGTGAGCTGAAAAGGGCTAGGGAGTCGCTAAGGGGAGATTTCTTGGCGAAGTCGTCCAAGGCAGCTCAAAGGTCCAAAAGGGAGCAAGTGCTGGCCATGGCCAAGGTGAGCGTGGGCGAGAGAGGACACGTCTTCCCGCTGAGTCTGAACACCATTGAGGACGTGGCCGCGGCCATAAAAGCGGGAGGGTGGACATCGGGAGACCAGTATGTCAATGAGCTCAAGTTGATGCACGTGGAGGCAGGCTTCGAGGTGAGCTTGCAGATGAACAAGCTCTTGACAGACTGCAAGAGGTCCCTGAAGAGAAACCGTGGTCCAGTGAAGAGAGCCCCGGAGTTCAAGCTGGATGACATCGAGCCCCTCAATTGGATGTCGTGCTATGCCTCAACCAAAAGCACTCTGAGGCCGGCATTGTCATACGCCTGGGCCGTAATATGGATGCTCAGAGAGGTTGAGGTGAGTTCAATGAAGTGGCGAGACGTCACCAAGTGCGAAGTGGGCAAGAAGATAACTATTTTCATCCCCCTCTCCAAGTGTGACCAGCAGGGTTTGGGAGTGAGACGAACGCTTCAATGCTGCATGAACAAGAGTTGTTTCAGAAGGTGTTGTTGGAGAGTGTGGAATGAAATCTTCAAGGCATACCGCGGCCCCCTTCGTGACCCACATGAATACATCTTCCAGGACTCCGAGCATCGTAAACTATCAAAAGCCAAGATGGTGGAAGGTTGGGCTCGGGTCACAAATGAACACATACAAGGTCATTCAGCCAGAAGGACGGGAGCGATGAACTACGTCAGGCTGGGCATGCCAATTCAGGAGCTGGCTTTCTTGGGCAGGTGGAAGTCCACAGTAGTGCTTTCTTACGCCGAAGATGCCTTACAATCAGAGCCAGCCAATAGAAACTTGGCAAATAGAGGCAGCTCCAAAGGCAAGAAGAGCGAGGCCGCTGCGGAGCCCAGTGCAAGCAAGGAAAACGTCAGGGACACGCCGACGGACATGTTGGAAAAGAAGCCAGGCGAGGACCTGGTCATTACACAGCTGCCCAAAAAGCTGTGGGTGGCGTCCACGGCCTACAGTTCTCGCGAGAGGGTTTGGCATGAAGTTGAAGTTGCCAGCTGGGATGTGCCAATCGAGTCTTGGTCCTCGGTTTGCGGTTGGCCCTTCAGCAGGAACTCCTCGAAAGTGGCCTTACAATCCCAACTGACATGGAGCCAGCGAAAGTGCAAGAAATGTCAGAAGAAGACTCGCGGCGAAGCCAGGGAGGTGATCGTGGCGAGTTGAAGTTCAATGGCAAAAGGCTGATGAAC